TTATGTTGCAATCCCTGTGTGGTAATCATATGTTGTTCCAATAAAGTTCCATTTGTCTGAGTTCAAAATGTTTTTCTTGTGGAGAGAATATTCCTTTAAAGTTTTCCTATCTATGTATGTCACTTGAACACCAAGGGATTGAAGAACCACCCTCAGCGAGCAAGTGGAAAATCTATAAACTGTTTCATATTTGTAAATAAAACCAGTGGAGTTTTGGAGATACACCCAAGCAAGAATACTAGTAGAGAACCTTGTGTCAAGTTCTCCTTTATTTTCAAGGTGCACGAAACTGTCATTTATACCACTGAAGAAGAAGGAGCCACTTGGATTTCGACAAGGTCCAGGCTCAAACGTAATGTTATTAGACTTAGCTTTAGTGGCTCTATTTGGACTCAAGTCCACAGTTCCATTTGCACCCCTCAGAGTAAAAAATGCCACTGGCATAGGAACATCTAAAAGAAATAAGATAACGATTATTAAACTTTTTTCTCATGATTGCCAAACAATAATTGTATTTAATACGTTTAGTATAGTCGGTAAAACATTTTGGAAACAGACCAATGAGGCAAAGTATGCTCTACCCTAGAACTCATTCTGTTTACATGTAATTATTTCTTCCTAATCTCTAATTTCTTATCCAAGGGCAGATATCTCATCAACTTGCGCAACCCGAGGCTCTTGAACATTATCTGAGAATGGAATACCATACTCGAAATCAACGCGAAGAGAACTCAAAATCTGTATCAAACTGCAATTAAAAAATGAAATTTTCGAAGTGTTACCCTAGAATCAACCAAAGATTATTACCATGAAGAAGTTTTTATTTGGGCAACTGAAATACTATTTATTAGATCGATTTTAAAATTTTAAAACGTATCGCTGGACATCATACCAAGTGGCTGTTCACAGATGTACCCTTTCAAACTATTAATTGCACGGTTGATCATTCCATCGCCATCCATAACCAACCCAGTCTGAAGACCATCCTATCGCATTTAAGAAAGTTCCACATTTTCCATCTCCACTCGGCTCTCCCGGGCCCCACAGATTATTCGTGTTAGAAACCATCTGTCCATCTGTCCAGACCCAATCAGTACTTTGAACAGTCAATCCAAGATAAATTCCACCGTGAATGTCAAATTTTAGTTCTCTCCTTCTATTGGCTACGGGGTCCAACGTGGACGCGTCATTGAGGACGGCAAGGTCGGCGTTGGATCGGTGGCAAAACGTCCGTGCATCACTCCACTTAAAGGTGGATGTTTTACAGAACAGAAAGCACGAAATACCAGCTCTGTACCAGCCAGGTTCGCATCCAAAGGTTATATTACCACCTGAAAAATGAGATTCATTACTACAGTACAGGCCGAAATACATCAATTATTAGATATTGCTTTCTTATTTATGAAACCATTACTCGTCTAAAAAAGGTTACTTTACCTTATCTGTTCTAAAAGACGACTTCATGAATTAGCTCAGTTACAACGACTAGCGTGGCGTTCGAGCAGAAACGATCGCTTTGCGAGAGTTATCTTCTTTTGTATCCTCACCTGGTTCAGAAACATTAAGAGCATAAAAAGAGAATACTATATTTCTTCCACAGCAACTGTCATTTCGGGGATCATTAAGACTCATCATCTGACCATGCGGACCTCTATCAATCAAATAAATCTTTCGAGCATTTTTCTCCGCGTCACTGCTGAGGACAACAACATCTAGTGGAAAGCTTGTGTAATTAACAACATCCAACTTTGGTGTGACGAAACTTTTTTCCTTCAGCACTGCAGGGTAGATAAAATATGGTTTCTCTTCCAGATTTCCCCTTGGTTTACTTTTAACAACCATCTCAAAGATTTTCTTCATGTTTAGTGTCATCAGGTTTTTATCCGCCCAACGTTAGGATAGGAGATACTTCTTGTTTACAGACGAGACGCTCAAAAATTCTCATTATGATGTTGGTTAATGAGATCGGTCTGAGCTGATTGCGTTCAGTCAGAGGAGATACCTTAGGGATGGGCGAGACGTTCGCTAATTTCCACAGAGATGGGACAGTTTGATGCCTAAGTGAGCAGTTGAAAATTTTGGTGATCACGGGTGCAAGATGTTGAGAGAAATCGCGCCAAAACCATTAGGGAAACTCATCAGGCCCCGAGGCGGTTCGTTTCAGGTGCGATAATAAGTTCACAGTCGGCAAACGGGTTCCTGCTGGAATTTGCAGACGCGTTGGAACCTCATATTCTTCGTCGGTGTTGATGGTCTGGAAATATGTGTTGATGATATCAGGTGAAATCACCGAGCTGACAAGGGTGCCTTGTGTCCTTCTGCCAGTTATTCTATTGGCTGTGTCCCATCATCCTTTAGAGCCTCGGTTATGTTTTAATCGCTCGTTGTCCACAGCGTTTACTTGGTTCATGCGAATGAGTGCGTTGATTTTCTCTTGACGAATAATTTTCTCCACTTGGTTACCTTGATGTGCTGTTTTGTTTCTGACTTTGCAGAGGTGCTTTACGAGGGAGGATATGTAAGGCGGGTCCCTGGACGATACTCTAACCCGGACGAGTGGAAAAATCTCATTGAGCATCGACCATAGGCTTGTATTAAGTAGTTTCACGCTTTTTTCAGGATTAGCTAGGTTGTTGATAGAATTCCAATCGAAAGCACTAAGCTTAGTCTCCATGGCAATTTTGCGGTGGTCTCTTGTATCGCGGAAACTGACATATTTCCGTTGAGGTTTAGCCGGGATAGAGGGTAGTACAGTGACAGCCAAATGATCAGATCTCACCAGACCCTTGTGCACCTTACCGGGTTTCCAAAGCAGTGGACAGTTAGTCAGAAAAACATCAAGTATTTTGTCCCGCCTAGTAGGTACTTTAACCATTTGATGCAGACCATGTTGTTGCGTGAGATCTTTTATTTTCAACTGATTTATGTCACCTGCAATTACGATCTTGGCGTTCGGATCATCGTACAGGATTTGATCACAGGTTTCAGATGGGAAATTCAGTAGATCAGCTGCTTCGTAGATGGGGTCAGGCGGATGGTAAACACTGGCAGCGAAAAACTCGGAATTTGGAGTTGTTATTTTGCACCAAAGAGTCTCGAACTCAAACTGTCCATTGGCGTTGATTACTTTTATTTTCCAGTCCTTCCTACAGGTGACAGCAACCCCTCCACCTGCACGTATTCCATTCCGGTCTTTTCTAACCATCACATAGCCATTAGGGCAGATCAAGTGGGACAAAATTTTCTTGT